TGAAATGCCGTATTCTGTCCGAGGTCTGTATGATAAAAAGTACTGTTTCACCTCAGATGTGATGTATAAAGAGTTGGTTTACACACCCTCAGATTTGTTGGCAAGAATTTGTAAAGTAAACCTGTCGAACGCAAAAAAATGCGGCCTGATTTGTTTTCCAAGAATTTGTTTTCGATGCCTAATCTACTGTGATCAAGAGCCATTATGGCTCTTGAATGTGATAGAAGATGTTTGCTATTTTTTGGGTGTACATATATTTAGGCTATCAACTCGATGTAAGATGTTTCACTCTAAAATAACTTATCCATTCCCTCAAAAGTCACATGAATGTGCCCTTAAGTTAACTGATTTGTGGATTACAAGTTTATTTTTTGATTTAAAATATAAATTTATTAATGGGAGCTTCGCTTTTAGCCCTGGCTAAATCTATATATTATTTGTAACAATGCCCGGGCCACTCCTGGTTCTTTTCGGTGCAACAGCAGGAACTGCACTACATGCTCCTATATATATTGACCACGGCTGGGACAATTATACTTTCTACTCTACGGGTGAAACCTACAAAATCAAATCTCATATTACTTGTGATATACTTTTAACGTTATCTATACATTATTCAATGCCGCCTTTGTAATTTGCAATATATTGGGGAAATCAAACGCTGCCTCAAGGACCGTTTTAATGAACATAGACGCCCTATACTTAACCCCTCAGGTAGTTACATCCAAACCGCAGTTTCAGAACACTTTCTCAGCAATAGCCACTCGGTTTCCCACATGTTACTTATCCCTATTGACACACATAGATATGAACGCGATTGTCTTAGGAAAGCAAAAGAGGCGCACCTCATTCATAAAGCCGAAACCATCGAGCCTCTGGGTATGAACAAACGTGACGAATTATGATCATTATGTAATCTTTATCCTTTTTTCGGTTAAGTTTTCTCAGCAGCCATACCTTACCAGGTCATACCATTTAACTTCCGTTTATTATTTTACAGTAGCATATATTCTGCATATTCGTGGTTTTTCCTAATAAACCTGATGAAGACTGGTATTGGCCAGTCGAAATATTGTATACCTCAGCCTTTTTCACGTTGTTTGATCAGTCTTTGCAGTAGCCTTTTTGATTTTAATTCTATCACGATCTTGTTTGATCCAACTTTGAGCTACATTGATCGTTCAAAGTTTTTGCAGTGTTTTTTCAAGCTTTAG